GAAGTTTGTACGTGTTTTTGTCTTGAGTCTTTTTATGTTGAACAGACCGCCGTCGTATCTGTATCTAATGCCCAATCCTCTCTCCTGCAGTTTGCTGTCCACTATAATGGAGAGCGCTGCCATGAATATGTTGAATAGGCGAGGCGCTAAGACACATCCCTGCCTAACTCCTCTCCTGTATTTGTTAGGAAGGGATCTCTCAGTGATCCATGATATGACACTTGTTGTTATGGAGGCTTTTACACACTGTAAGAAATTTGTTTGGTACTCCGAACTTTTTCATAATTGCCCAAAGCGCATCTCTGTTCACAGAGTCGAAGGCTTTCGTTAGATCGATGAATGCAACATAAAGTTTAGACTGCTGCTCTTTTACTTACAACTTACAAAAGTAGTTTTAGGATTTAATTTAGTTCACACTTGATAACGGTCAGTGATACTTCTGACCGAAACGTTGTGGAAGGAAAATAAATAAAGACAACGGAAATCCGAAATTCTTTTAGTTTCAAATTCAATGTTTATTTCATTAAATGGCACAGCGTCTTCAAAACAAGAACGAAAACTTGACAAAGAACACGATCATGAATATGCCATCACTTGAAATTGGATGTAACAGGGCGAGGCAAGTATCTCTTCAAGATTGATTGATAAGAAGTCTACACGTGACGTAAAAAGGCGTATGCTGTTCCAACCTCCAATGACGCAGGCATTGATTTGTTTGTTTTTATCTTACATTCGACCACGATTAGAGAAAATACTTTTATTAGAGGTCATCTGGCGTCTATATGACCTTTTCTTTACATTTAGCAAGTGTTTTTACTTAAATAATAAAGTCTGGGAAACGTTTGTTTAGTTATTTTATGCTCTAGCATTTTTCTGTATTATGAGGGTTGTTTTTTATATTTTGCATATAGAAACATAGTAGGCCCATGTCAGTATACAGGGTGGTCCGAACTGTATTCCGGAAACTTCGGCAGCATATTCTGCAGATAAAAATAAGTGAAAAAGCTCGTATAAATGTATCTTCTAAATTGCTTAGTTTCAGAGATGTAGAATGTTTAGGAGGGGAGTTAGTCACCGCGACCTTAAAGATCTATTGTGTGTTAGTTTCAGAGATAGAGGGTGTTGAAGTTTCATTTTTATTTCGATTTTTTCCAAATAATTTCGTAACGTCAAATTCTACGGATTCGTAATGGAAGGTAAGAATAGGAAGTTTAGATATAGGGTGCTCCGAACTGTATTCCGGAAACTTCAACAGTATATTCTGCAGATAAAATAAGCAAAATTTCGTATAAATGTCCTAAAATGCCGGAAAAAAGTGACGGAGATACAGGGTGTAGAAGTTAAATTTTTATTTTGATTTTTTCCAAATAATTTCTGAAGTAATGTTAATATTTGGATGAAAGTTGGTGTTTGGGAGTTTTTTGACATGAACATTTTGATTTTGATGTCAATATGACTTCTACTTGTAGAGGGCGCCACCTACGTGTGTTTTGACTGTTTTCAAGAGTAATAACTTTTCGTCCGTACCTGTATAAAACTACTGAGTGAAAAATATACATTTGCGTGATTTTTTACGTAAAAAATGGCTCTTGATAAAAATTAATACTAGCAACCGTTCTCAAGATATTTAGAATAAAAATAGTCAATACATGTCATTATTAACAAAAAATAAACGTGTAAAATAGAGTTATTTTACTGAAATTACAAATTTGCGAACTTTTTTTTTAATTATTCATAAATTTTTCTTCGAAAAAATGATGATAAAACAGTTTCTGTTGAACTTTTGGCACAAAAACATTTCAAATTTATGATTTCAGTCTAATAACTATTTAGTCAACATGTTTAATTTATGTCAATGACGACAAGTATTGAAAATTGATATTCTAAATATCTCGAGAATCATTACTCGTAGCGATTTTTAACGAGTTACCATTTTTATGTAAAAAACTCGTAAATGTATATTTTTGACTCAGTAGTTTTATACAGATACGGACGAAAAGTTATTACTCTTCAAACCAGTTAAAAAAATATGTAGGTGGCGCCCTCTACAATTAAGCCATATTGACATTAAAATTTCATAGTCAAAAAACTCACAGACACCAATTTTCGTCAAAATATTGACGTTACTTCAGAAATTATTTAAAAAGAATCGAAAAAAAAAATGAAATTTTTACACCCTGTACCTCCGAAACTAAGCATTTTGCTAGTTTCATTAAGCTGCCGAAGTTTCCGGGATACGGTTCGGACCACCCGGTATAATATAGTGCAACCTCTTCAATTGGAACAGCTAATTGTAATGACCTATACCGATTAGCGAAGCATTTGAGTCGATTTTTAAAATTCCGACCGCAGCGCTTGGTGCGGCAGAAATCAGAACTAAGTATATTTCACGCCGTCCCGTAGGGGGCGCTGTATTACAATTTAACGAACTTCGCGCGTTTTTTCAAAAAAGAAAAAATAAATGCGACAGTATTTTGTAATATCAGCTGATAGTAAAGAAAAATAAAAGCTTAAAAATTCAGCGAAAACTGCATCTTGATATCTAAAAAATACTTTCCAGTAATTTCTTATGGCCTCTCTAGTCATAAACGTTTTTTTTTCAAACGTCACAAAAGTATTAATTTTTGCGACGTAATTGACAGTATAAAAAAGTCATTTTAAAAGTAAAGCACTTTTGCACATAAGCATAAAAGTACGAAAATATATTGTTAAACTGACAAAAGTATCAAATTCAACGAGCATAACCGTAGTTTCTCGATATACAGGCATATAATTACATACGAGGTATGACTTTCAAATCTTTTTATATTATTTGGAACGTTTGAAATTGTTTAAAAAATTATTTGTGGCGCTTGAAAAAAATAGCATGTTCTATTCGGAGTAAAAATGACTGTGCATCTGTATGTCCTCAAACGTACAGTCTCGCCACAAAAAATATCATTTCAATTTCCGAGATACAATCGAGAGCTATTCTTAGTAGAACACCCTATATATCTTTATTTATTTTCAGGTGGAGCTATCTGTATGGAGCTACTAACCCCAAGAGGATGGGCTTCGGCTTACACCGTTGAAGCTGTCATCATGCAGTTCGCAGCCAGTGTGGTTAAAGGCCAAGGTAGGATACAACGAAAGAGCAAAGGTCAAAAAGTTTTCAACCGACGAACGGCAGAAGAGAGTTTCAGGTCGCTGGTACGAACTCACGATAAGTACGGCTGGGTAACACCCAGTTTAGCTGACGGTTAGAGTGGATACTTTTGTTGGAATCCACACATTTTATTTACTTACTTTAAGCATATGTTACAGATTGAATAATGTATCTAAATCATAACTAAATTATCCTGTTGGATCCAGGCTAGTTAATATAATTTAGTGCTGTATACCTGTCCCAAATTATAAACTATTTGATGTTTTAGTCAGATATAATATAGTTTATTTATAAATATATTGGGCCTATGTACAAAATGAATAAGATGCTCAGTTTTAAGTAGCTATTGATAGTTCTGAACAGACAGGATTTTTTAAAACTTAACATCTTAAGCAAATTCATTATTAATATCATCTGATATAATTCGGTTTACATAAAAGTAAACATTACAAAATTCAAGTTGCCAAATTTCATAAAAATTCGCCCTCATCCATACTATACCATCTGGAATCTTAGCTAACAGTGTTGATAAACATGGTTAGCTAAGTCTGTGGTTAAAGGTCATCATAACCAACAAAAGAATATGTGACAGTGACAGTTGTCTGCCATCTTAAAAATAATGTTTTATCTGTCGTTTCTGGAATGTCGTCTGTCACAATCATATATTCTCTCATTGGACAGACTAGGTCAAAGTTTACAGATTAAATTCTGTAAGTTTACATAATTAAATCCTGTAAGTTTAGATAATTAAATTCTGTAAGTTTACATAATTATTCTGTAAGTTTACCTAATTAAATTCTGTAAGTTTACATAATTAAATTCTGTAAGTTTACCTAATTAAATTATTTAAGTTTACCTAATTAAATTCTGTAAGTTTACATAATTACATTCTGTAGGTTTACCTAATTAAATTCTGTAAGTTTACGTAATTAAATTCTGTAAGTTTAGATAATTAAATTATGTAAGTTTACATAATTATTCTGTAAGTTTACCTAATTAAATTCTGTAAGTTTACATAATTAAATTCTGTAAGTTTACATAATTAAATTCTGTAAGTTTACCAAATTAAATTCTGTAAGTTTACCTAATTAAATTATGTAAGTTTACATAATTAAATTATGTAAGTTTACCTAATTAAATTATTTAAGTTTACCTAATTAAATTCTGTAAGTTTACAGATTAAATTCTGTAAGTTTACCTAATTAAATTCTGTAAGTTTACCTAATTAAATTCTGTAAGTTTACATAATTAAATTCTGTAGGTTTACCTAATTAAATTCTGTAAGTTTACATAATTAAATTCTGTAAATTTACATAATTAAATTCTGTAATTTTACCTAATTAAATTCTGTAAGTTTACATAATTAAATTCTGTAAGTTTACATAATTAAATTATCTATGTTTACCTAATTAAATTCTGTTAACGGGCACCTAAAGTTTACAGAATTAATCCTGTAAACTTTGACTAGATACCTCTATTACAGGTACTTGTAAAAACTCAATTTCGTTTGAACTGTGTGCAAAAAAAATGATTTGTGGTGAGGAACCAAATGTCCACTATAATAGAAAAATTAGAACTGAAAAACTACCAAACTATGACGATATATAAAATGATAATATTATGTTAAGCACAAATTTACGTAGAAATTGAAATCAATAAGGTAGTAACTGTAAAAGTTTCCTCATCTTTGTATTAAGTGTTTATGTACTTTTAAACTTATTAAAAATGCTCATATATTTTATATAAAGAATTTTAAGTAGATTTTAGCTTTGTTAAAAATACAATGTAAGAAAAGAATGTTCACTTGCAGTATTATCAAAATATGTAATAATTATATGAACATTGTTAGCAGAACCAGTAACTTTTTATTGTTAACATCATGTGTTTATTTTATTGATGATTTTTGTCTTCCATATGGGTTTGTTATAACTCTTAAATCTTATAGATTTAGCTTGTTACATACTGTATTAAATGTATATTGTTTTTATATTGTATACTATAAGAGGCTATTCATATTTATTTATGTACATATACATGTTAAAAGTATATCGGGGAGAACAATATTTATTTTTCAATGATGAAATAATTTTTTAAACTCATTTACTTCTTTATACTTTGTATTTAATGTATTAACTATATACCTGAATAGCCATTTATAGATCCTCAGTGTTCTGTATAAATATTGATGTGATCCATGTTGAAATAAATGTGTTTACATAAAAATAAGCATTTTATTGTATTACCGAAACATGTCCTTATGATACTCTATAAATTATTAAAAACATATATCTATTGACACTGAATCGAAGAAAATAATTTAATATACTGTAGCCTTAAAAAAATAAAACTAAGCAAAGAAAGGATTTCTTACAGGTTTACTTACAAATAGATATAACAAGAAAAATATCAAGTGTCTTACATGGCTAACAGACATCACAATAAGCCTACTTTTCCACCTCTTAATGCCAAAACTAAGTGAAGAACGGATCCTCCTTGAACTTTGTAATCTTGAGCAGTTTTCTCATCATTCCTAAAAATAAACATAGTTCAGAGACCAACAAAATAGTAATCTTTGTTGTTTGTTGCATACAATTGGGCAACATCATGTAAGAACATTTGTGCAACTCACATTTGCTTTCCTGAAAAAATTAGCCTTTGTTGTTGTGGAGGAATTCCTTCTTTTTCTTCTACTCTTTCTTTAATTCGTTCAACTTTATCAGTTGGTTCTATATCAATTTCAATTTCTTTCCCCGTTAAGGTCTAAAATACAAAAAAAAACACTTTAAAATAGGGTTACTTTAAAAACCTTTTATTCAAAGTCACCTTTACTTTGATCAACATGTTACTAAATTAGATTATTACTAGAATTTACTAATATAAAACTACTATAAAGGTTTTATTGAATATTATCATAAAAACTAATGCAGGAAAATGCCCAAAAATTTTTAAAAGAATTGACAAGATAGACATCTGACATCTGTTTTCGAATATGTCATGATTAGTACCATAGACTTAGTCTATGGTTAGTACAAATTTTAACCATGGTTTGCAATACTATCCTAAATTTTTTGTTTTAAATTCTTTCATATAGTAAAAAACTTTGGTCGCTTTCTAGTGTTTAGACTATAGAAAATTTGCTATTTTATTTAATTTACTGCAACAATATTTTATATAAAATCTTGAAAAAATAAAGTTCATATAAATTGAGATCATATATAATTCAGATTAAAACTATTCTTTGGTTTGGAATTCTGATTACCAAAAAATTCTTTCATGTTATTTATTTTTTATTAATCTATGGGTTTGTTTATTTTAACCTAGAAAATTGGATAAAAGTTGTAACATAACAGAACATAATTTCTGCTTTTTTTGTATAAACAAAGAATTAAGGAAAATGAGTAAAACTGAATTAATACTATTACTTTCCAATTTAGAAGTGTCAACATTGCCAGGTACATATATATTAAAACATTAAAGTAGTAGATTATTATTTTATCAAACGTCTTTATATTTTTGTGCTTAGAGTGGAGAGCTTTTCAAAAATTCCTCAGCAATATTTAGAGAAAAAAATACACAAATTTGTACAGAGTCAAATTGCGATTATGACAAAATTTCACCAACTTTTATTAAATATTACTTCTTGAATTCTGCAATTACAGAATGGAGATTGTTAGGAAATGTTTACGTTTTAAGACAAATTGGCGATATATTTCATCAGCAGCGTATTTCAAAATGTACTATTTTAGCTTTAACAAAATTTTGAGAAAATGAAAATCTTCGAGTTATACTGATTGTTTAGGGGTATATAAAATTACTTTTTATCCTATAAAGAACTAAGTAGCTACTCAAGATATTTATAATACACGTAATACACTTATGAATGACACTGACATATTCATCTAAATATGCTAAAGAAACTATGATAATTTTTCAGAAAAAAATCTACTATAATGTAATGTACTATAATATACAGGGTGGTCCGAAGTGTATTCCGGAAATTCCGGCAGCATATTCTGCTGATAAAAATAAGTAAAAAAGTTTATATAAATGTATGTTAGTTTCGGAGATACAGGGTGTAGAAGTTTCATTTTTATTTCGATTTTTTCCAAATAATTTCTGAAGTAACATCAATATTTGGATAAAAATTGGTGTCTGGAAGTTTTTTGATATGAGAAATTTGATTTTGATGTCAATATGACCCCTATTCGTAGGGGACGCCACCTACATGTGTTTTAACTGTTTTGAAGAGATAACTTTTCGTCCGTGACTACAACTACTGAGTGAAAAAATATACATTTCCGGGATTTTATATGTAAAAAATGTCTCTTGGTAAAAACCGCTATGAGCAACCGTTCTCAAGATATTTAGAAAGGAAATAGTCAATACATGTCATTAATGACTAAAAATAAACATGATGATTAGATAGTTATTTGACTGAAATGATAAATTTGGAAACTTTTTATTTTTTTAAATTAATTATAAATTTTTCTTCGAAAAAATAATGACAAAACACTTTTTGTTGAACTTTAAGCACAAAAACATTTCAAATTTATGATTTCAGTCTAGAGTCAACATGTTTAATTTATGTCAATGATGACAGGTGATGACGTAAAAAATGTTGTAAATGCATATTTTTTACTCATTAGTTTTATACAGGTACGGACGGAAAGTTATTACACTTCAAACTCTTTGAATAAAAATTCAAACCAGTTAAAAATATGTAGGTGGCGCTCTCTACATGTAGGAGTCATATTGACATCAAAATCAAATTTCTCATGTCAAAATACTCCCAGACACCAATTTTCATGCAAATATTGACGATACTTCATAAATTATTTGGAAAAAACCGAAATAAAAATGAAATTTTTACACCCTGTATCTCCCAAACCGAAACTAAGCATTTTAGGACAAACATTTATACGAACTTTTTTACTTATTTTTATCTGCAGAATATGCTGCCGAAGTTTCCGGAATACAGTTCGGACCACCCTGTATATATGTATAATGTACTATAATATAACACTAATAAAAAAGCTGTATCTCAAACACTAACAAACATTCTATTTTAATTTACTTAGGGTTACCAGATGAAATCCTGCCCACCCCAGGGCAAGCCTTCTCAAAAATCCAGACGTCATAATTGTTTAGCGATATAAGAGCAAAAATAGTATATTGTTTTATTCGGAGTAAAAATGATGATGGAGTTTTTGTGACAAGGCTGTACGTTTGACATACAGGCGAGGAACAAAAAATAATTTTTACTCCGAATAGAACATACAATTTTTTTTCAAATGCCACAAATCATTTTTGAAACAATTTCAAACGTTCCAAATATTATAAAAAAATTAAAAAAAAAAGTAATTATGTATCGAGAGACTAATGCGTTACGCTCGTTGAATTTGCACTTTATGTCAGTTTAATAGTATATTTTTGTACTTTTGTGCTTAGGCGTAAAAGTGGTTTATTTTTGTACTTTTGTGCTTAGACGTAAAAGTGGTTTATTTGTATGCCTAGGCGTTAAAATGATTTTTTTATGTTGTCAATCACGTCGCAAAAATTAATTTTGTGACGTTTGAAAAAAAATACATTTATAACTTTCAAAACTTACAGTCACAAACCAAATCAAAACTTACGAAAGAAGATAATGAATTTATACTGCTGTATTTTCGACGATTTTTTAAGTAACTAGATTTATTAAAACTAATATATTATTTTGCATTATTGCGACATTTCTTAATAGAAGAGTAAATCCGGACGCTTCTGAAAAATCCGCCCGGGCACAACCGGACATAGTGAAAATCCGGACATGTCCGGATTAATCCAGACGTCTGGTAACTGGTAACCGTAAATTTACTTTAAACACACATAATAATAACTTTTAATTCTAAGCTAAAGTTATTTGAATAAATATACTATACTAAATAAACTAAGTGAAGAACCGATCTTCCTTGAACTTGGTAATCTTGAGTAGTTTTCTCAACATTCCTAAAAAAGAATCATTGTTCAGAGACCAACAAAGTGTACTATCAAAAACAATAGGTAGTAATCTTCATTGCATACAAAACAAAAACAAAATGTGCTTTATTGCAAAAAAAAGGAAAATATAAACTATACAAAAAATATAAATAAGAATCAGTAAAATATAAAAAGTTAACAATACAAATAAATAAAATCTTAAACTACAGTTTTTAAAACTGAAATACAAACAAAAAAAATGTGGGCATAAATATCATGTATAAAAATATGAAAACGAAAACAATACAAAAAATATAATATAAAAATACGAATAAAAAATAACCCAATTTTTTTAAAATTGAAATACAAACAAAAAAATATAGGTACAAATATCAATATAAAAACAAAAGAAACAATTGAAAATGATACAACAAAAATATAGAAATAATACATAATATTATGTACATTAATATTTTTTTTAACAGACGTTAGTAGCTCTTAAAATCAGCAATGAAAAATTCAGTGTGGTATTTAAAAAAGTACGTAGAAGCCCCTCCCTTCTACGTACTTTTTTAATACATTTGTAATTAAATTTTAAAATTTTTAAATTAAAAAAAAACAGTTGAAACCAGAGAAGAATATATAGAATAAATTGAATACGTAGAAGATATTTAAGTAAATTAAAAATTCATACAACCAGTAGATGTTCTCTAGATTTTTTTTATAGTGGAGTGCCCAGAGACTTTTACTTCGGAATTCAATTACTGTCAATGTATTAATGTGAAACCTTCTGTATTGTGTTTTATAGATAAAATACTAAAATGTTTACCCATTTTTTTTCGTTGCTTTTAATTTTTTATTTTAGTAAATTCTTAATTATTTCATTCTTAATATTTTGATTTTTTTAATTCTTTTTCTAAGTAAATTTATTGAAATAAATAAATCTAATACATAAGCTATACCTATTCTGCTTATATTCTAATCATTGAAATTTTGATTGAAATCGAATTATACAGGGTGGAGCGTCATATACGACGCGGTTTTTGCAAGAACAAAAGTTTGTATTGAAGTGAAAGTTTCTGAGCTTATGTAAGTCAATTTAAAGTATTTTCTAAAATTATGTAGAGTTCTACAGGGTGTCCCCAAAAAAAGTTACACATCAAAGTTATGTTTTTTGTAACGGAACACCCTATATATTAATTGATTTTTGGATTCTAGTAAAAAAAAAAAGGTTTGTTTCATTACAAAAGTATATGACTAAAACGTATAGTTTTTGAAATACATTCACCGGTACGAAAAATGGGCACCTTAAAACTTTGAAGTATTTTAAAGGTTAATATATTTTATTTTAATGGGCCGATTTTGATAATTTTTTAAGCAGTTTGTTGCCAAATTATTTGACTTCTTAGTATCTTTTTCTAAATTAAAAATGAAACTCCCCATCTGTTAATTATACGAGGGAAAACAAAATGTTGATATTTTTGATGAAAGTTTGAAACACCCTGTAGAATATGTTAAAACAGCAAGAAATTTAAAAATTATTTTATCATCTAGGTACATCCTTTCTCGATGGTTTGTTTTTTGGTTCATCTCATTAGCTTTATTTTTGTTGGAAATATTCGGTTTTAAAGAAGGCACTAACATTTTTCGTAATTTTTACATTAAGACCATGCCTTTGCTTTTGGGCCTAGTCAACACATCTAGTAAGTTCTGGTCCCAAAGCAAGCCTTCTTGACATAAGATTTGCTTCATTTAATCTTCTTCTTGAAGTCCGTTAGTTAATATGTACGGTTCTTAAGTGCAATTCATTAACAATTTGAAAAGCTGGCAAACAGCGATTTCTTAGCGATAAACTTACAATAAGTCGATCGTCTCGATTATAAGTTCTCATACGAAGGTTCCTGGACGTCTATATTGACGTCCTCATGGACGTGGTCATAATTCAAAGACCAATATAATTTAATATACTCTATGGTATTAAGGTATTTTTGGAACCAGAATTTTATAGCAAATTCACTAAACTCGAATAAATAAATGATATATATTTGACTCACCCTGTATATCTATAAAAATATTTTTGAAATGTGAACTACCATTAAACATATATTTTGTAAAAAGTTTGGAGTGAAAATCTCAAATAGAAATCCTGATACATAGCTTTTCCGGAAAACGGAGCCATCTTGTATGTATGCATTTGTATATGTGTGTGTTTATTTAAATACTAAAGTGAAAGCAACGAATTTAAATAGGTAAACTTTGTAATATATCTTATTAACAATACAATGCAAAAAGTTTTATAAAAATTCGTTCACAGTAAATGAATTCCGAGGTTTGTATCTCATAAAGGCTTAAAGCACTCCACTATTAGATAAACCCCTAAATGAAAAAAATTGCCATTTTTATTATCTTCCACTGTTTCTAAGTGTACTGTTCCAACTGAGATTGGGGGGACCAGCGGGGCTAAAGTTTCATTGGGGTCTGTGTGGCACCACCACGCCAAGAATGTTACATTATTAGGATGGTGGGTAGTCTAAATAGTGTGCCTCACTGGGACGCTAATTTTGAGGAAGCATTAATTGAGTGGTTTGATGAACTTAAAGAGGCTTAAGTGAGATGAAGACCATCGAGACATTGATTTTTCTCCGAAGAGTAACCATAACTCCGATTCTGAATCTCTTACTTATAGAAGAGAGAAAATTGAATAATCAATAACAGAAAAGAAAGAGATGTGAACCATATGTCAATGAAGAAATGACAAAAAACAAAAATCTCATGAATCAAATGTGCACGATCCATGTGCGGCAAAGGCAGATCCTATATTAGCATGAACTGTATTTGAAAAAGTTATGTACATTCAAGGTTTGCAGTTTTGTTGAAAAAATGTATGTTTATTACTTTAGCTTCACATTTCAGTAGTTTGTACTTTTAATAATACAGTAAAATCATAAAATATATGTTTTTTAATTTCTATATTTTTAGTTTCTAGCCAAGTTATATTTTTGTTGTCAAAAATTACTAAAAATGCGTTTTACTTTATTTTTGTGTTCGTTCTTATTAATTTGTTGAAAATTAATGAAATTGTTTGTTGACAAGTTTGAATATATTGTAAACAGTGTTAAAATAACAAGCGTTTTATAAAATCTTTTCATCATGTATTTTTATCTGAAAATAAATGGGGTCCGTCGGTACAAAGATCCACTACGCCAGTTGCGGGTTAAACAAAATTCATAAGTTTTTTATGTTAGGAGCTACAGATGCCCCAAGAACAGTTTTGCAGATGCCCGACGCACTATTGGCAGACCCTGTATATTATTCCACATATATAACTATAATACATATTGTGGCAGTGAAAAGTAGATGTATATTTTCGATTATACTAAATGGAATACCATATACCAAATGGAATACCATGTACCACATGATCGAAAAAAACGGCGTCAAGTTGGCATTGGCACGACGATCGATAATGTTTCTCAATATAATTTTAAATAAGAAAATGAGAGTAGATGATGTGATAATATGACAAAATGATATTTATAGTATTCTTAAATTTATATCCCTAACAAGCATAATTTTTGTCATTTAACATGAAAGAAAAACCAACAGAAAATCTTATTCGAGCTTTTAAATACTGAAAATGAAAATAAATCTATTTATCATATAGGTAAGTGTAATGTGTATGAGATGATACAGCAATTTCAAATTGCTGTATGTTTTTCAATTTGTTTGTATGCAATTTCATTAAAAAGCATGCCACTGCTTTTGGTCCTCATCAACGCACCTATGTAACACAGTTCATTTTTGAGATGTTACTCTTTTGAAGCTTTCGACCTTAGATTATATTCTCCGGACCTCGGGCCTTTGGCCCTGCCCTTAGTATATTTTTGGTTGGAGCCTTTGTTGGAGCTTCTTTATATATGAAACTGTTCTCAAATTGCCTGAGGACGAGGGTGAACTTTCGATCCTTCTTGGAGTTTGTAATATTTAGCAGTTTTCCCATCCTCCCTAAAAATAAGCATATCAGAGACCAACAAAGTGTACTGTCAAAAATAATAGTAATCTTCATTGCATACATATACTTATGTGACCAAATTAGCAATATATCTTCTACAGGAAAGTCTACTTTTCTGCAGCTAGTTCTTTCATTCGTTCAACTTTATCAGTTGGCTCTTATATCAATTTCAACTTCTTGTGGTCAAAAAAGCACTAAAATACCAAAAACACACTTAAAAATAGGGCTACTTTAGACACTTATTGAAGGTGTTACCGTTATTTTGATCAACATGTTATTCAGAGAATAGGTGTTATTAAATTAGATTATGGAGTGTACACGGTGTAAATTAGATTGATTGGATTGATCAGATCATGATTAGATTGTGGATTAGATTAATAGATAAAGAATATATCACCGAATATATATACTGAAAATTATATTGCTAGAATTTTAGAATTTCTATTCTTTCTTGTGGTGTCATATGTCATAACCTGTTTGGTATCTGTGGTCTATGCCTGTGGTCATAGGGTCATAGAGAAGAATAAAACGTTAAAAGCTTTAATGGCTTTGTAGTTTAAGCCCATAGTTTAAACTATTTATAGAAAATTGGTACACCAGAAAATTTGCTATTTTATTTGAATTATCGCAGAAATATGTTATATAAAAATTGAAAAAGATCTAAAATTCTAAATTGAGATCATATATAATTCCGTTTGAACTTTTGGTCTGTGGTTTTGGCAACCCAAAATTTTTTATTTATTTTAACCTAGAAAAATGGATAAAAGTTTGACATGAGATTAACTAAGAAACCTGAGATTATTTAACTTTATTTCTGTTTAATTTTATGAACAAAGAACTAAGGAAAATGAATAAAACTGAACTAATAACATTACTATCCAATTTAGAAGTATCAACATTACCAGGTAGGATAGTAGTTGATTTAAAAATTTAATTCTAATCAAACAATTTTATATTTTTGTGTTTCTAGAGGGAGAACTTTTGAAAAATTCCTCAGTAATATTTGGAGAAAAAAATACACAAATATGTACAGAGTTAGATTGCGATTATGACCAAATTTCATCAAGTTTAGAAAATATTACAAAACATTATTTCTCGAATTCTGCAATTACAGAATGGACATACTTGTTAGGAAATTTTTATGTTTTAAGACAAATTACAATTACCTTACAAGATTCAAAGCATACCGAATTACTTAGTGTAAAAGAAATTGCTAAAATAAAGAAATGCGTAGTGTCTTTAGTTAAAATTGGCATATCTACAAAATTGTTACCGAATTTGCCTTTTGCTGTTAATGAAACTTATACAGTAACTGACGATATATTTTATCAGTATAACATTTTAAAATGTACTATTTTAGCTCTGACAAACTTTTTAAAAAGTGAAAGTCTTCGAGTTATTATACTTACCAATTGTTTAGGGGTTTTATTATCTGGTCTTTATCAAATTGCTTTTTGTCCTATAAAGAAAGAACTAAGTACCCAAGATATTTATAATAGACTTATAAATGAAAAACAAATGACACTGAAAATACTACAGCAATTAAAGGAACATATTCATCCGAATATTTATGTTAAAGAAACTATGATAATTTTTCAAAAAAAGTCACCACCATGGTTTAAAAAAGCTGTTTCTCAAACACTAACAAATATCCTATTTTCACCGAATGGAGTTGAATCTGTTGCAGTTGCAATGCTGTTAAATTTTGGTAATGATCAAACTAAATCATGGAAAGCATTAGATATTTTATATCGACTTCTTTCAAGTTGTAAATCATTACCAAATTTTAAAGACAACATATGCAAACAGATTCTTGGTCTTTTAGATAAAACTACCGAAGACAGTTTGATTCTTGAAAGATTGTTTATAATTTGTACTAAACGATTTTATTTTGAATGTCACGAAATTGGGAAGGATGTTTTTTTGAGAAAAGTAATCAGTGAGTTGTTATTTTTTACATGTAAAGAATTCAAATTTGAAAATGTAGCTTGTACGGAGAAACTTAAGAAAACTATTAGACTTTTATTTGGAATTTTTGTGGAAAATACTGTCGATTATGCTTGTCTTCCTATAGAAATAATAAAACCAGTTTTAAGTGTGATATTCAGGATATTTGCTTTAACAGTAAGTAGTATTTTTAAGACAACTCATAAAGAAACTAGGTTATTAATACAAAAATATCTTGAAAGTAATAATAATGATATTGTTGTATTTGATAGTTTAATTTATGGTATTAATGCTCCTCAACAAATTTTATCATTCAGAAATGATATAGAATTATTTATAGAAACAAATGAAATTGTTGTAAAACACGCAGAACACTCTGTAGTATACTCAGTATGTAAAAATTGTGAGGTAGTTGTAAATTTATTAGAAAGTAGGAAAGATTTGTTAAAAAAACTATTCATATATTTATTAAATTGTCTTAATAATAAACAAAAATATTTTCAAAGAAGCGATGACAGACTATTAACTTTGGAAAATGAAATAATGAATGAGTATTTCGAACGATACTTGAGTGTATATAAATTATTATCAACACTAGCAGAAGACAAAGATATTCAAAAGCTTATAGTGGAGTCACCTCAAGAAATTATTGTGTTTATTAAGCAAATTCTAGAAAAGTCTCAAGAAACTGGTGTACATAAAAGTTCTAAATTTGAGTGTGACGAATTTCAAACCCTTTTTACAGTTATTTTGGTGTTGAATGCATTAATTGGAAATACTTCCAAAATTAACAAAATGTTTGACGATTTAATTGAACCTCTTCAGACAATTTCAAATGAAACAAAGCATTCTGAATTAAGAACTCTGATCGAGCAAATTCTAAATAATTTAAAGATCGATAAATCAAAATCCAGGAATATAGATAATGGAGAAAAAAGCACCTTAGATGTTGTAGTTGAGGATATTTGTGATCCATTGTTGCCAGTAAGAGGCCATGGTTTAATGGCACTTAAAAAGTTGGTGGAAAAAAAGGACCCTTCAGTTGTAAAAAGGATGCAATATGTTCTCACAATTTTTCAGGTAGGTGTATTGATGTGTACAGGGTGTCCCATTTACGTGTGTTTTACAGGGTTTCTCGTTTATGAGTAGAGATAGAAAGATGCGGTTTTCATACCACTTTTTTTTATGAATTTAGAGATGCTACACACAGATTTGTCCTAGTTATCTTATAACTTATCGAAAATGTGAAAACTGAGTCCCATATAGGTAGTTTTTCACGTAGAATTCATTGGCGTAACTAGGTAGATTTTTCCTGTTAGCTTCCATTCTTGAAATATGACTCAAACTTATGTTTTTTTTTAAATGGGATACCTTAGCTGTATAGTACATTTTTTTATTTGCCTTTTTTATGAGCTTAAAAATATAACATACTCTATACATATTTTCATAAACAAGATATAAAATGCATTATTTAGTAATAAACAAAGTCCTCGTTACATAATCAAAAAATTAAATAGACATAGGTGAATATGAAAAGATAAAATATAATTTTCAATATTAATGGTATACTTTTTTTAATCAACTAGTGAATAAATGTTTTATGAATATCTTCTAAAATTATAATTATGTACCTTTAAAAATTTCGTTAAGCCCCATACTCACACTTCACTCCTTCGTCCCTTCCTCGCGTTACTTCACCACTTCACTTCGTTCCTTCGTCCCTTCGCTTCCTTCCTTCGTCCATTCGATGCTTGGAAATTAGTCAATTATGCAACAACACACCACAAAATATTTTTAATATAGCAGCTACATGTTTACGAAATATCTAGTAACCTCTAAATTTTTTAAAACATCCGAAAGGCCCATAATTTTTATTTTATAAAACTGCAATTCTTTGTCGTGTCAAAAATAAAAATTGAATTTTAATAATATATTATATTTTTTAATAAATCCGAATATTTCAGTATCATGTACAGGGTATATCTAGGGTTCCCAACTTGAGCATCGGCGATTCCAGGACAATTATTTTTAAGTTTTTAAATAATTGAAAAAAAAACCATTAAATATTAGAAATTCAAATATATTATATGTAAATGTGATTTTTTTGGTCCCGGCCAAGGCAAAATTTTCGCCTGGACAAACTTTCTGATTCCTGGTTAATCCCGGTTAAACCGGGACGGTTGGGAACCCTAGGTATATCAGTTGTGGTATGAATGTACAAGGCGAGTCAATAATAGATTGAAGTTTATTATGTAATTTATATCGAAACTATGTTTTTAAAACATATCTTCAGATATTTTTGTAAAGGCATCATGCCCACTATTTCTATTTTTTTATTTTTGTCGCTACGATTACATAAATATGGACATGTATTTTTTCACAAATATGAAGACATTATTGTCTTTTTCTTCCATTTTTTAGACTACTGTGTGTGAATTATTTTTATATCGACTGGCGATTGCTAGATGTACAGGATGTCCCATTTTTGTGTGTTTTATGGGGTTTCTGGATATGAGTAGAGATATAAAGTTGCCGTTTTCACATCATTGTTCTACTTATTATGAAACTAAATATGCCACACAGATTTATCCTAGCCTTCTTAGTTCAAAGTTATTTCTTATTTCTTTCTTTTACTTTTTATTTTTTAATGAGTAGAAATTTTTGCATTTTTCGATAACCTTTGTATCTCGATTATCTTATAACTTATCGAAAAGGTGAAAAGGATCAGTGATGGGCGGTGGGTAAGAACCCAATTTGTAGATAAATAAAATCTGGGTATATATGTATATACCTACCGGTAGATTTAGATGAACATCCTAATTTTAATAAAATGAGTTTCCGACGACCGCATAATAAATACCCGGTATAATATCGGGAATAGAAATATACCAATATATATATGTAAGGAATATTGTAGATATACTCGTATTCTTGAAATTACTGGTATTATACCGGGTATTTACTATGCGGTCGTTGAAAATACCTTTTATAAAATTAGACTGTTCATCTAAATGTACATCAGGTATATACCAGATACCCTGATTTTGTTTTGTTCTACCTATTGAGTACTTACCCACCGCCCGTGTCTTGTTTTTCAGGTAGAATGCAGTGACGAATCTAGTTCTTCGTTGGGAGCTGTCTATTTCGAAAAATGACTCAAACTTATGTTCTTTTTTTTAAACAGGATACCCTATATATTATTTGTTATTTTATTTTCCTTGTTATGAGCTTTTTAAAATTATAATATCGTCCCATTGCTGCCAAAAGTCACTAACTTACTTTTTATTACTTGAAAAATGCGTCTAAAGATGGATTGCATTGCATAAAGATGTTATAGTTAGTAACTATTCGGTATTAAAATAAAACATAAATAGCCAGAAATCGTAGTTAATGACTTTTGCAATCGATTCTCCGCTTCAAAACATAGTTAGTGATTGAATTTGGTTGTTCGGAAAAATGTTAGTTTGTGACTTTTGGCAGCAATAGGACGATATACTCTATATTTATTTATTTAGGTACTGCTAAACTGCTAAACGCCTCTTATTTTATTTAACTTAATTTTACCAGATAATTTTGCTTTGCATCGTGATATTTTGATAAACTACACGGAAACTGAACTTGTGCTGCTTTTAAATAACATGCCAATAAGTAACATTTTACGTCGAATAAATTAGTTGATTGTTTTGATTATCTAATTTAAACCGGCCGACTATGTAATAAAGTTAAAAAATGCATTTTTACCCCGTTTATGAAAATAAGTATTTTAGAAAGCCTGTGACAAGGAAAATAAAACAATATACAAAATATCGCATTTAAAAAAACATAACGAAGAAATAGTTACGTCACTGCATTCTACGTGAAAAACTGTACGAGAGACCGTTTTCACCTTTTCGATAAGTTATGATACAAAGGGATCGAAAATGCAATAATTTCAGATTCGCCCTATATTTTAGGAAGTAAGAGAGCTAGGACATATCTGTATGTAGCATCTTTAGTTTCATAAAAAAGTAACAGCGTAATGTGAAAACCCCATCTTTGTATCTCGACCCATAAACGAGAAACCCTACAAAACACGAAAATGGGACACCCTGTACAGACGTACTGCCAAATCAAGAAATCAACTACGAATGAAATCCAAAATCGATTTATATATTTTATATAGTATTTTAACATTTTTTTGTGTTCGTGATAATTCCTTTGCTACTTCGTCCAAAAACCGACAATACGGGTAGGAGCGTTTCGAGGAAGTATACGGACGAAGGAGCGTTTTGACGAAGGAATGCAGGAACACACAGTCGCATAAAATCGACATTTCCCATAGGGAAGGAAGTTTCCCCGAAGGAAGGAAGTGAAGTAGCGAAGTGTGAGTATGGGGCTTTATAGCCGAAATAGCCCATTTATGCCCAACTAGCAAAACCGGTGATTAAAACTATGCTCGCTACCGTAGTTAAACTCGGTCTAAAAAGTTTTTTTAACTGGAATAATAAATTTTAATACAAGTTAGACTTTGTGAAGATATCAAAATATTTATTTTTTTATTTTTATTTTTAGAATTTTTACAAATTATACTTCCTGACACTTGAATAATTAAATAACAAATTTTTCGTATAATCGCTATTTAAACCCGTGTATTTGTATATACTAGTTGTTTACGATATTCTCCGATGGTGGCAGCACCGGCGGAGATGCACCAAGCCTATAGGGCAATCAAAACAATCGAATAATTTATTCGACGTCAAATTTTAGTTATTGCCTATTCCATGCTAGTTTCTGTGAGTTGAATCTACATATAAAATGCTAATGTTTATCTGTGTCGTCTCTACTGAAGTAACGACTTGCTCTAGAAAGTTGCTTTTTTTACTAAAGGATAGCTAATTGGCTCTTCTAAAAATTGTCGTTGCCGGATTTTTTGTTTTTCATTTAATTAAACCAAAAATAAAAAGTATTTTTTTCCTGATGGCGCGTCGTGGCGGATGCACCTTCCTTGCCGGCGGCTTCAACTAGTTATAGATAAGCCCATTAAACACATCAGTAACTCTGATTGACAGCGTGTTATCTAAAAGTTGCACAAGTTTATTTTCAGTGCAGTTTATTAAGATATCACAATGGAAAACCAAATTATCTGGATGAATTATTAGATTAAATAGAACCTATATAGTCTTTTAAACTAGATTTATTTTTTATTTTTTTGTGCAGGTACTGTATTTAGAGTCGATCCGGGAGGAATATTATCGATTGCTATTTTAAAGGCTACCGGGACGTCGTTTTTTCTTCGATCATGCGGTATTTGGTAACATAAATATTCAATTTTGTAGCAAAACGTTAAGAATGACGACTCCTTTATATACCTCAGCGCTATCGATGGTTTGACCGCCATGGCTGATGTTTTTCCTGATACGGTCCTGAATATTTTATGCGAAGAGTATTCAGATTTCACCAAAAAGGATAAGGATTCAAACGAAATTAGGATGAAACTAGGAGAAGTGTTAGTTAGAGTGACGAAAATCTTGGGTGGGTATTAGATAATTTGTTTCAGTAATTTTAACAGGGTATTTACTATTAGAAATAAAATGGGTCTGTAATGCGACTTAGTGTGTGTACAGGGTGTCCCATTTTGGTTGAAATTAATAATTTTACTAAATTTGACTGTATAAAATATCTTACAGCTAATAAATAGTTAAAAAAATGATTCGTTGCCTGAGTCATACTTGAAATAGAGTATATAGAGATATTTGATAAATGGCAACAGTGGCAACTTCGTTTCTTCATATGACAGATACACTACCTATTTCGCGCAGCCGCAAAGAAAATTGAAAACCGGACTGTCGCTACTCGTCGGTTTACTTACTCTATTATAACTGAGTCTGTAACGTTTTTCGTAATATATAATCCAGTGGCGTAACTAGTTTTTCGCTGGGTACTGTCATTTGTCGAAATACGACTCTAACTTATGTTTTTTTTTAAATGGAAACTAAACAATGGATAAAAATCATCCCGACCCAGTCACACTTTTTTTCAGCCACCCTGTAGAACTTAAAATATTTTTCCTGAAATACATCTCAGCACATACTTTAGGTTGGTGTTTATACAAAATTCCTAAGTGTTTTATTATAGGAGCTGCAAATGCCCGACGCACTGTTGCCGGGTCTACTCATAAACGAGAAAACCTATAAAACACACGAAAATGGGACACCCTGTACGGGGTAATCATTAGCATAATATAATTTGTATATATACAGGGTACGCTTAAATAATAAATAATAAACTTGCCGATTTTTTAGGTGAAATGGCGCCTAAATATAAATCGTTACTATTAAACACCTTCCTGAGCGGTACCAAAGATGAAGATCATCTAGTAAGAGCATCGGCACTGTCAAATTTAGGAGAAATTTGTCGGGTGTTGGGTTATAAATTGGGATCGGTTGTTACTGAGGTAAGTACTGGTTATAATAATAAATTTATATATTGAATTTTTAGATTGAAATTTAAAATGCAATATGGTCGAAAAAAACGGCGTCAGTGATGGTTATGAAATGAAGATCGCCGTCATTTTATATGTAAAATTACATGGAGATTGTCATCGATCGTCATTTCCAAGCCAACTGGATGCCGTTTTTTTCGATCATACGGTACTATTTTTTTTAAGAGAAAATGTCAAAACTTGACATATGAGATGTCATTCTATTCAGAATGCCATTTTCCATTGAATAAAGTAAAAAAGTACCGGGGACATCTCCCAGGAATCTAAGATCTATTAAAAATTCTAAAATAAACTTTAAATTCTTAACAGTTTTAAATAGTTTCAGGCAGTGCTGAAAATTTTTTTTTTCTATAGCAACTGTTAAAATTGCCTTATATCTATCAAAAATAATAGATAAATTAATACTTTATCCGCAAGGGTAGATTAAATGATACTTTAACAGCGATGATAGGTTAAAAACTTTATTTCTTCTCGTACGTTTTTTAATTGCTTCTATTTTTGAAAATGTTTGTATTCCTTTTCATAAGTTACTCGGGATTTAAATGGAAGTAGTTTGGATATGGCGTTTGTCGCCTCAGCCTGAGTTTCTGTTGGTAATTTACTTATTTTGTTTTGAGCCATTTCTGGCTTCAATTCAATCAGCAATCGACACGAAAGAGAATTAAAAAATATTGACTCAAAACTGACAACTAAAGAGACAGCTTTATTTATTTGTCAGATTACATAGAAACCAACGCCAACCCAGCACAATATTTCTTCTACTCGTAATAAATTCCTTGAAATAATAATTTCTGAATATTTTTTAAAACATAACTCGCTATGGAAAAAAATATTGTTTTATACACGACGATAATTTATTTATTATCGTCTCCTGAAATTAATTTTTTTCGGTCGACGGTGAAATACTATTTTATCGCCTTGTATAAAAAATAACTATTAACCAGTTTTTTTTATTGTTTAAAACACTTTTTATGATTTTAAAGAAGGTTGTAACCTAGAGATAAAGGTTTTAAAGGGCACAGAAAAACTCGCTACAGAAAGGTTTAAAAGTTTTAAAAGACACAATACAACACGAGTTTTATTTTGCACGTCCTTTACAAACCAATTCTTATTTTATATGTTATGGCGTGTCTATGTTTACTTATTTCTCTTATGACTTTTTATAACTTTTTTTTAAAGACGATCCATCGTTGCCACAGCTGACAGAGATATCGACCAAGGATTTGTATATTTATACAATTCTGTTTTATAGTATCGTAAGCGTTCAACGTTATAGCACAGGTTATAGTATAATAAAGGATTCGAAATGCGTGGCGGCGTTCAATTGCAAAAATGGAATGCTTTTTCAACTGTACTTTTACTACACTAACTGTTCATCTGGCTGGTCGTGCCTTTATTGACCCATCTTTTCCGATCGAAGGAGCATGGGAGTGAATATACAGGGTTGGTTAATAATTACAAATAATTATTGAATATGAGTTGTTTGTTGGTTGATAGTTTAGTTTGGATTGCTGTCCCCAGAATCGAAATATTTGGTAAACTAGTCAATAATGACTTACAGGCTATATTATATAATTTTGCTGGTCCATCTTCTGTCTGTCGTTTTCGCTAGGTGATATCTGGTCATGGGCGTTTGAGAAATTTAATTCTGTAGACTGTTAGGACTTTTGTCTTCACTCTCCTTTTGTGCTCTATTTTTTTTATTATTATTCTAACGTTTTTCTATTGGTCTTTATACTGGAGTTTTTTACGGATTCCTGTTTCAATGTCAAAGTTTCATGGTCGTTTATTATGACTGATAGTATCATCAGATCTGCAGGAGCTCGTCAAACCTGCAATTTGGACAATATTATAGTATTTCCGAAGTCAATTGGAAGTATTGAGACTATTAAGTCCTTTCGAGTCGACGCTGTTAAATGCACCGACAAAGACAGTGTCGAAATTAAAAGTCCTAATCCATTTCAACTGACTTTAGGAAAACTATACCTGCGAATCTAAGAAGGCATTTTATCAATTATACTAGCGTGTACCAGCGACTTCGTTCGCGTCGAATTAATCATTTGTAATGGTGATGATAAAGCAAAGCAAGAATTTCCATTAACATACAGACTGGATAAAATTTTCTCACATTTATGTCAGCATGAGAAAAAACAATATGGCTATATTATTATATAACTTGGTAATATTTGAGGAGTAGTTTCATCTCGTTGGAATTTGACTTTCGAAAAATCCGTTTGCCAAAAATAAGCTTTTTAGGTCAAGCAGTTTAAGCAGAATCGTGGTTAAGAAATTATCCAGTTTTTTGGAACTTGGAAAATTCCAAAATATGTAAAAAAAAAACAAATAAATTATGCTTGTCTAACCGTTTTCCCGATAGACTAACCGTTTTTTAAATAAGAAATATTGTAATATTTGGGGGGCGTTTTCACCCTCCAAGCGGGTGATTTGAGATTCGAGAAACCTCTCCTTATCGAACCTCTACACCCCACAGTCAATCCGTTTACCAAAAATCAGTTTTAAACGTCGAGCAGTTTAAGCAGAATCGTCATTACTCAATGGTCATATTTTATGAAACACCCTGTATAAATTTATAAAAAATCTTAAAATATGTAAAACAACAAAATAAAATATACGTGTTTAAGAGTCTTTCCGAAAAACTCACCGGTTTTTAAATAAAAAATATTTTAATATTTGAGGGATAGTTTCACGCCCTTAGAATTCGAGTTTCGAAAAATCCCTTCTTATCGAACCTCTACGCCTAAGTCAACTCTGTTTTCCAAAAATCAGCTTTTTACGTCGAGCGCTTTAAGCAGGATCGTGATTAATCAAAGACCAGATTTTTCGAAACACCCTGTATACATTTTTAAAAAATCTTAAAATATGTAAAAAAACAAAATAAAATATACGTGTTTAAGCGTTTTTTCGGAAACTTGACCGTTATTTAAATAAAAAATATTGTAATATTTGAGGGGTGGTTTCACCCTCTTGGAACTGGAATTTCGAAAAATCCCTTTTTATCGAACCTCTACACCCTAGAATCAACCTGTATGCCAAAATTGAGCTTCTTACGTAGAGTGGTTTGAGCAGGATCGTGATTAATCAGTATGTCAGTCACTTAATGATTTTATATATTGGTATAGATTATATAAAGAATCAAATATCGATGGGAATATTAAGCACTACCCTGCCGATGCGAACAGTTATCGTTCCTGTAGTAAAAGTACAGTTGGAGAAAGAGATTTCGTTCGTATTTTTGCGCGAACGGGATAAAGCTGTCCGATTGGATGATTTAGCGGCCAACGGTTCGCGGTGCCGTATATAGGAGTCGGGCCCGCCGTGTACCGTCTTCGCCCGTTCTTGCTTCGTGCCTCCGATCACTACCTCCTAGAATACTAAGGCCTTGTGTCATAATACTGATGTCATGATTTGTGGGTAAATATCGTACTAAAGAAAAAATTACTTCATCATCATCTTCAGCATATTCAAACATTTCGAATTATGGTGTAGTCTCCCTCACATATTTAGATAATCTCTTTGTAATTGGGCTAATTGTTGTCTATTGTTCTCTATGCGGGCCTAAGTTATCCCTTCTGATTTCCTAATACCATGGTCTCATCTCAGGTTTGATCTTCTTCTAAAGCGGCCCTCAAACGTTCAATAATATTGTCAATATTTTGGATTATTGACAATATTATTGAGCGTTTGAGCGTACATATTGATGGAGCTTCAATATATTGATGGATTTTCGGGATCCTGAAAATACTCGACAATATTAAAGGCGGAGCTAGTCGTATTGACAATATATTGATCGTTAGGTCGCAGGATTGACAAAATTTGACTAGTTTATTGGTAACCATGGCGGAAGACGGAACATCGCCGTCGTTGTTTTCACCAGTTTTAGATCGCAATCATCAGGCTCCCGTTTCTTAACGTACTCTAGAAGATTTAGTTGGCCGAACCTTTTTCTTTTTGGATATCCATTTTTTTGTATAACGCCTTTTCTTAAATTTTTTCTTCGATTTTTTCACACTGACTGACACTCACTGCCAAAATGACACGCTTCATCTTTCATTTTTTGGCATAGGGTATAATTCACACTTAATATTTGCACAAAACTTAATATTGATATATGTATTGACCGTGTCAGGCCACCTTTCAAATATTGATAAAACATTGACAATAAAAAATATTGGCAATATTATTGATCGTGTGAGGGCTGCTTAAGTCTCTTAATTCTTTGTGGGTATCATGCTCTAACTTTTGTTTTCCATCTGTTGTCTGTCCTTTTTGCCAGGTGTCCTGCCCACTGCCACTTGAGGGATATAATTTTGGTGACATCTATCACCTGGGTTTTTTGTGTGTGCTAAAACTAGTATCGATTGTTATTCTCCAGCCGTCTTTGACGCCGTTTTTTTTTCGATTATATGGTACATTATCAGACAAAAGTAGAGAAACTTTTTAAAACTCGTCGGATTTCAAAAACCTCCAATATTTAAAATAATGTTTGTTTTAAACATATTTCCTTGTAGCAATACCATACTTTTTCGCCACATTCCAAATTTATCTTATCAGGTGTTTATTTATAATATGGACACAAATATTTTTGAAGGGACATAAATATAGAAACCAACATAAAAATTGCCTACTATTAGTTATTTGCTTAAGGTGAAAACTGTTGATATTCTGATTTACATTTTTACTAAATATGCCACGCGGAAAATATTTGTCTGATTATCTTCGCGAAAAATTAATCAACGCACATCGGAATGGTGTACGGCAAATGGACATAAGCTCAATGTTTAATTTTCATAAGTCTGTCATTAGCAAAACGATTTCCAATTTCAAAACTCGCACTTCCTTAAAGACTATTAAAAAAAGTGGTTTGGCCAAGGAAAACAACGAAAAAAATTGAAATGATAATTAAAAAAATCGCCTTAACTAATTCGCATAAA